GCACTTGTCAGACCAACCTTAAAAAACGCATTCTTACATCGGTGTGACATGAAAATTAAAACTTCTGATGAAAATCTTTCAGCTGCTCGAAGGCGGTCTTAAAGTTTAGACCGCTCTATTTGCAAAAAAAAAAAAATCAACAAGAAGTCGACTACGGATCGGAAGAGAAGCTCAGCTGAATATTGCTTAAGCGGTGTGTTAAGAAAGTAACGAGAATTTTAAATTTTAGAACAGAACATTTATGTATTTTCGGCCGCAACATCCGAGTGATGAGCAGCGCTTTTTGTCATGAAGAAAATCAGATTTTCCAAATTACAGGAAATAAATTTTGGTTAATTGCGGTCCTCCCTCAGCAGAATAAACTTCAGGTGTCCCCGTTTGTTTGCAAAAACATCATGACACACTCAACACAAATTGGGGAAGGCTTTAGCCGAAAATCACTTCAGCGCTTAAAAAGCAAAAATCATAAGATATTTATTGACTTGTTGTTGTTGTAGTGGTGGTTTACAAACCCCGCTTGGCAGCAGGTTAGATCAGTATAAATAATCCAAGTCATCTAACGAACTGTTTCGACGAGCTCAGACCAGAGGTAGAGGTGGTTTAGATAAGTTGGTTTCAGGGGGCATGCAACAAGGTGGTTAGTGTCTTGCGGGGACGCATTGCATATAAGACACACGTTGGGTATGTCGGGATGGAATCTTGGTAAATAGGAGTTGAACCTGCTATAATATCCTGACGTTATGCAGAACTATCCAGGCAGCTCGAACTCTTCGACTGCTATAGCTAGTCGTCTGACTCCGATAATGCCATTTACAGGGAGAGAGTTCATGAAGTTGTTGACGGACACATGGTGAATGGCGTTTACTGCCGGTCTGTACGTCGTCCTGTGCAGTGTTTGTTTTAGATGGTGCTGAATGCAGTCCTTTAGGTCGAGTACTACCTTTCTGATGAGCCTAAGGGTAGGTTCGGCTTCTAATAAATGTCTATTGGGTATTAGTCAGCAGAAATTGCATGCACAGCCAAATTTTATGCTCCTTAATTCGATGCTTCACTTTGCAAGCGATGCTCTGGCAACGTCAGATGTTTTTCTGCCTCGGTCATGAGGGTGGTGACTGCCAATGTAACGCTTCTTTATCTTTTCCCCAGAGGCTGTCTGCTAACGCTTTGGGGATTTTGTTACGGTTGTTATAGTAGGAGGAGCCTACGTAGTGTAGGCTTGATGCAGGGTCCCCCCATAACGATTTTACTGACGGTTGTATGGGAGGTTTCCCTAAGACACTTTAGGCCTGTTTTCACTCGTTTATAGATTAATATTGGCTTTTTCATGTAAAAATTTTCCTCATTCGAATGTGTAGCCATGAGCAACAGAGAGGACACGGGAAGGTTAGCACCTATTCTCATGGGGCAGGTCCTCGGAGACTGATCTAGTGCAAAAGCATCTCAAGTATACCTACATCGTCAATTTAATGACGATGAGGGTCTTGACGGTACAGATGATGTCATAAGACCATTTCTGCGGGAGTCCAACACTACTTACTCAGATAAAATAATGCAGCATACTTATTTTGTGTCCCACTAAAGTGAAATTTACAGTGCCACCGCGTGAAGAAAAGTAGGGAAATGATAGTTAGATGTGGATTAGCCGTACAATGGCACTTCACTACACCTTGCACGTAGCACGTCCAAGGAAATGGCTGCCTGTTAGAACAACGCAGAACAGTTAATTCTGAGTGACACACAACCATTTCTTTGACAGTTGTTTTTAAAGACATCAGAAAAACCAACCTAGGGCAGGTACTCTTTATCTCGATAAAGCGAGCTCTCACAATTGTATTTTTTAGCACTCAAAACATCGATTTGATGTGTCATCCACCGTATAGTCGTGATAACGCGCCGAAGAAATTATTTTTATTCCCGTACGTAGAAAATAAACTGAGAGGTCAACGTTTTACGAGACCTGAAGAGGCGGTTGATCCATTCGTAATGCATGTTTTGGAGATACTTCAACCAGAATGGCAAAAGTGTTTCAAGAGGTTATAGGCTTCAATGGAGAATATTTTGAAAAACAATAAAGCGATTGTAGAATCGTAAGCTCTGTCATAGAATTAAGATCATGAAGAATTTATCCAATCTGTATTCAAAAGTTCGGCGGCTCGGTAGATGGACGTCGATTAGAGACACCAAATTAATGTAGTTCCTTCTACACCTGATTTTTCCTATAAAGATGAGAATCTCTTTTACCTCTGCTTCCACCGGCAGGTATTGGGTCTAAAAATTCAAAACTACGAAACATTATTTTTATGTTGCTCAAAGTTTTATATTTATAAAGCTTCTAAAATCTCCAAGAAGACATATTTTGTTTTGGCAGTGACCACTTTTCGCTCCACCTCCAGCTTTCCATCTGCTTCGGAGGTCATTCTATGAAGCAGAGGATTTCTTCAGTTGACCCATGAGTAATCCATCGTTTTATTTTACTTAAAGTCTATCCGCTATATAAAAAAATACTGTTTATTGAAAATACATCATGCATAGAAAGAACTCGTTTCACTCCAAAGGTTTCTGATAACCATAATTGTCTTTCAATATTTTATATTAAGGATACGAAAGGGAAGTAAAGAAAGTTCGTGGGCGGTTTCTCGCGCAATTATTTTATTTTTTTCTTGTGTTCAGTGCTTATTAGAAAGCTATCATAATATGCCGACATTTAACAAAAACCACCCACTGAGACTGCAATTATTTTCAAGTTTATGTTGCGTAATAGAGGAGTGAGTTGATGGGTACGCCCACTAATTTCCTTAAGTCACCAGCAAATATTATACTAATATATCAGCCTACTGTACCGTAAAAGAGTACATACACCCATACATACGAATAGCTAATACCCAAATGGAAAAATACTTATAGTTTCATATATGTACATATATATATATATTCACAAAATTATAGATCAAACCCATTTCTTTTTTCAAAATATTTCAATTATAACGGGTGACACAAGTAGAGGTACTTTTTTCAATAGCCTTTTTTTGACAGATCACGCGTGAGTCGTGTGAAGTAGACATGTTAAACTTTATTACGAAAAATCTCGTTCTGTAAAGAATGTGTTTCGCGCGCTACGCTCAACTTATGGTCAACATAAGCGGCCTACAGAGCCAACGATTCGCAACACCATCACCTATCTTGAGACCCAGCATTCATTATTGGATAATATTCGACTGAATATACCACATCCAGCACGCAGTGAAAAAAATATAGCGGCTGTAGCTGAGAACGTAAACGAAGACCGAGTGGCGCCGATTCGGCCCGTTCGTAGCAACTCGGTCTGACGTGCGGAGTGACTTGGCCACTCGGTCTTCCCGAACGATATCGCTTCGCTCTGTGGGCCAAACTTTCTTCGGTTATAAGGTCCATTTCTGGCGCAATGGGTATGTAAACATGCAAAATTGCGGCATTTCGGATAAAGGACAACTTAAAGAGATTGAAGAGTTGTCTTTTCATCCATAAAAAAACAACTTTTCGGTGTGGTTTATGGGCCGGTGTAACCTTCGGTCCATATTTCTTCAGAAATGACGGCGGTAAGAACGATACCGTCTATGGGGACCGTATCGCACCGTGATAACCGACAATTTTATGCCTGAAATTGAAGATCGTGTTCTCGGCGACATTTGGATTCAATAAGACGGCGTCACTTCCCACACATCGCATCAATGAATAGATTTTTTGAGAGAGGACTTTGGTTAGCAGTCAATTTCATGTTTTGAAGCAGTCGATCGGCCAACAAGATCGTGTGATAATAGACCGTTAGACTTTTTCCAGTGGCGATATGTAAAGTCTAAAGTATATGTGGACAAGCCCGTTTCGATTCAGAGCTTGAAACAAAACATCACGCATGACATGCGCCAGTTAGCAATCGAAATGCTGAAAGGAGTCTTAGAAACTCAAAGGATAGGCCATCTGAGACGTAGCCGTGGCCAACATTCCAAAGAGATAATCTTCAAAAACTAAATGCCAAATAATGTTTTTTTAAGGTTAATAAACGTGCCCTCTTAGATTTGAATTTTCTGTGTTTTTTCTTTAAAAAAAGTATCGAATTTCGAAATGTGGGTAGGAAACGATTTTTATCTCTACAAAGTCCTCAAAACTCAATTGAAACCATATACTGCCTTAGTCAACTTCACTCCTTGAGTATAATTTAAACCAAGGTCTTGTGTCTGTATACATACATATTATAATTAGTAAATTACTTTGCTCGACTTGCTGAAACAAATTTACGCATTAAGCACATAATTCATACAACTTCAAAGGAACGTAAGCGTTTGGGGGTAAGAAGTTGGAAAATTTAATTTTACTGCAGTAAGAAAAACGCTAAAGAAAATACCGCATAACCTTTTCGGAAAGCAATGTCAGTTACACGACATGGTGTCGACTGTGTGTGAAAGCGAGAAAAAAACACGCAAGCGTACGCATAGTTGAGGGGCTAGAATGCAAAAATATGGCTACACATAAATATATTTCCATGAGTGGAAGTGAAAAAAAGCTTACTCATGCCATATGCATGTATTATGTCTGTATGTAACTTTGTAGTAATTCATCAACCAAGAGTTATTTAGCTAAGCTTTACCACAAGCCAATGGAAGAAGGTGTCAAGTGTACATTGAATAGTCACTATAATACAACTGCAAAAAGGCGACGAAAAGCCATTTAAAAATAGACTAACTGTCGCGCATTTTGTTCTCGTACAGAACGTATTTCCCTGTGTGACACTGTGGTGACTATTATTACTAAAGCGCCGCTCATACTGGCATATGTAAAAATATATTATATATATTTATGTGTACGAGAAGGTGGCAAACCCAAAACAACCCACTATGTAAATTCCCGTGTGTGATGTATGTTTGTGGTATACAATTTTTTTTTTTTTTTTACATTATTTTTGTTGCTATTTTATTTAGTATTTAGTAATCTACGTTTTCACTTAAATTTTTTTTTCTCATTTTCAGAGTCCAAGTACTCGAGTGGTTTCAACAGTTGTACGTCCAAACGGATTCATTCAGATCGGACGAGGAGTCACAACGTGTCCGCGAGGCAGGCAATAATTGTTATCGCAAGGAACATCATCCACTCAAAGCATGCGATCTATATACGGAGGCCATATTTTTAGCACCTGTCGAGGAGGATGCAGACAATACGACAGCGGCAATGGCACATGCGAATCGTTCGACTGTGTTGCATGACTATGGCATGTATGAGGTATGAGGAATACAAAAAAATATTTGATTTTTTTTTTTTTCAAACTGATTTTATTCCACTTCCGAATATTAAACATTTACTTATCACATTATCCGGACATATATATATTATATATATTACATATATTATATTCCACTTCTGAATTGTATGTAATTATTACCTACACTCTCATTCAAGTACTTACCACATAAACTATCGAGGAGATCCGACATCTTTGGTAAATCACATGGTGTCGGTTATAAAACCCTAAAATGACATCTAACCACATAAATACGATAAATTTTAAAAATTATTTGATAAAAAACATACGTGTCACGGATTTTTTTATTACCATTCGACTAACCGTGCGTTGGTGGTTTTAACAGCTACGGTAATGAAATGGCCTTGAGCATGCTTAACAACACGAAAACACGACAAACTGACCTCTCCACAGCTCAAATTTTTCACGCGCGCTTTGTAGCGCTTTCGTGACTTTTATATTATTATCGTGTATTTTCATCTTTCCTTTTAGTAACTTTTCACTTATGTATGTTTTATTTTACCATTGGAAATTAATTAAATTTATTCACATAGATACTAGAGCTCAAGATTTGGTTAGAAAATTTTCGCTATGCTCGAGCATTTGAGCAACGAGTACTCGAACACTCGTTAATTGCTCATTGTTGGAAAATTTACGAGCTTGAGCGCGAGCATATAGAGCTTTTGCAAGCATTTTGAAAAAATTTTTTTACTACTTTTCCAAAACTTTCTTCTAAAATTTTAATTTTATTTATGCAAGGTTTAACAAACAAATTTGAAGAATTTCAAAATAGCATTTGAGCAATTGAGCAAGGAACGAGTATCGAGCGAATATCGAGCTGCTCACAGTGCTCGATACCCGGGTATCTAGAGCTCTAATAGATGCCTGATAAAACTTTGTAGACGCAATATATTTGCAGTCACAGACTATTCATAAAATTTCTTTAATATCTATTTATTTTCTATAATTGTTATTTTTTTATCTCAGGAAGCCTACGACGATTGCCTGTGCGCTCTGGAGCTGGGCTATCCCGAAGAGTATAACGCGTTAATCAAACTACGCCAAGCCGCTTGTGCCTTAAAGTTGCGTAACTTTGCGCTTTGCGAACTGCATGTACACGAGCTGCTGCACATGGATCTCTCTGAGGCGTTTGAGGCGCGCACACACGAACTGTGGCACGAATGCGAAGTGTTGAAATCGGAAAAGATCGACATGGGCGTACAAACAGACGATGATTATTATATGGGTGCAGCATCAGCGGCAGTGACAGCGACGATAGCGCCCCAACACATATTACATGGGAGTTATAGTAATCGACTGAAGGTCTATGAAGTGTAAGTATACTGATATTTGTAAATCTTGAAATCCTTGCAATATCTTCTCTACACACTCACACACACAGCGCCTGGTCCGATACGTCGAATGCGATTACAACGACACGTCGCGCGTACTTACGCGCCACCACAGACATCGTCCGACATATGCCGATCTTCAGCGAGGACGCCGCAGTATTTGTTTCCAGCGGTCAAGCGCGCATTTGCGACAACTGCGCCATCACTCAGTTCATACCGTTTCCATGCGACTACTGTTCCAATCGCACATCCGTTTATTGTTCGCGTAAATGTCGTGCTCAACACTCATCCATACACGTACTCGAGTGCTTCGCCCACCAGATTGAGCTGTTCGAAGAGTTCGGTGATGCGTTTGCCAAACCACGTCTACTACAGCTCGCCTTTCGTATGCTTATCACCGGTTTGCCGCAAGTAATGCCACATTGTCGCAAACGGCCGACGGTGAATAAGATGTGGAATGCCTTTAATGGCATACTTACCGAACGTACGGATATACCCTATTCAGCGCTATTGCGCCTCGAAACACACCTCGATAAAATCGATACTGAGACGACTGTTTCACTTGCCATTGCTGCGCACATACTCGCCATCTATTTGGCAGAATGTACGGACTTTTTCGAACATCTAGATCTCATGATGCCCGCCACAACGAAATTGGCACGCAGCGAATGGATATTACTCTCTGCCGCGTTACTCTTACGTCACATCGGTCAACTGAGGCACAAGAATCTCATACACTGCCCGTCCTTTGTGCTGCCAGCGGATCCGCATATACTCTCACCCCTGCACGAGTACAGTTTGTGGTCGGGCGTGAAACATGTGCGGCAAGGTCAACTACATTTATTGGCCGGCGATGTGGCGTGCGTTGCTTATGCTGTCTACCCACAAACATTAAGCCTGTGCCGGCAATCTTGCACAGGTCAAATCTATCGTAAACATTCGGGTCGTCAGGTGACCGCCTATGCCACTTGTGACGTTTTGCTGGGTGCATGTATTACCAATTGCTTCGTCTACGCTGGTGATTATCGACAATCGTTGCACGAGACACGGAGGCAAGACCTAAAGGCGCGAGGGATCGACTGCAAGTGCGACAAGTGCTTTCGTCCATATCCGGATGAGGATTTTGTAAGTATCTGCTCAAAGTGATTATGATTATGACACCTACTGGCTAAGCGATTTGTGTACGCCAAATGTACACGATCTCACCACAAAAGCCAAAAGCACACATTTGCCTACACACACACACATACACACAGAAACTGACACAGACACAGAGAAATACAACAAAAAAAATTAAAAAATACAAGCCCACACAAGTAGCTCGACTGTATATAATTCATTTTTGTTTGTTTATTTGGTGTTGTTGTTCATATTTGTTGTATGTTTACGTTCTTCAGCCAAAGTAGCCGCATAAGTGTGTACATTTGTGTGTATGTATGTATGTATGTATGTACTATATGATATATGATATGATACATGTATATATGTTAAGTGTTTGTATGTATGTATATATGTATGTGCGTATGCAGTAGTAGCGATTATAGTTAATTCCTCTTTTCATTACCTCAATGTGGGTGTGTTTGCTTTCGATGTTGTTATTGAATTCTTTATTCATCTTTTTCATTTTTGCTGTTGTTGCGTACTCAATTTTCGGTATTTTCTATTCTATTTTGTTCATATGTTTACCTAGCCTTTTCCTCAATTTCTATGCATTTAAGTATATTTCTGTAAGTATGTGTGTGTATATGTTAATATAGTAGATTTTATGTTTAACTACATGTGTATATATGTGTTTGTATGTTTGTATGTGTATGTATGCATTGTGCATTAGTGATTTCGATTTGACTAGTATTCAATGTTTACACAGTTTTAGGCGTTTAACGGCATTCAAGTGTCTGTTATAAGGCGCACATTTTTACACATTTCTTTCGTCTTCATTCATTCCCACTTACATTGGTCGCCTGCCAAAGAGCTTGCATTCATTTCATTCTTTTTTTTCAAATAATTATGAAAACTTAGTAAGGAAAAGGTCAAAGTATTGAAAATACTCCATTACGAAAGCACAAAAGTTAATCATGAAACACAAGCGATCGAAGGATTGAAAGTTTGGAAGGTTTCAACCACCACTCTAGGATCGTTCGTCCGTTTTCTTTACGAGTTGCTTATTTGAACTTTTACAATCCACTTTGCGTTCTTAAGCTCAAGGCCCGGGCTAGAACTGGTTATGGTGATTATTACTTTCAAAAAGTCTACATTAACTGTCCTTTGAGCAAAATTTCTTTTCGAACACAATGTCTCAAGATCTGTTTACTAACCTTTAGCCAAGAAATACTAATCGTTCTAAATTCTATGGTAATCTGCAGATTCGTTACTACTACGTACAATGGACGACTTAAATTAAGTTCTCAATTTACTTTAAAATACCAGAAGAAGGCAAATAACTTTCGACTCAAATTTTGATTCTTTATTGTCTGGGAGCGTAGGAGGACACGACGAAGTATCACCTCACATCTTCCTGCTGAATTACAGGCCGCTAAAGGCATCGAGTCTTCACTACTGTGCAGTGTGGGCAAAGCCTCTGCTCCCACGTGGGATACATTCCCCAACTGTGACCGACTTAAAGTAATCTTCACACCAAAAGTGGAAAGGATCAATCAAGTAAATTCAAAGGACCTATTAGCGTAACTTATTTTCTACTAAAAATAATCGAAAGGCTAAACAAAAATCATCATGATACATCTTCCCAAGGTATTAGAATGCTTACTCTAAGGCCAAACCTATCGTACGAGCGCACAACAACGTAGTTGATTATTTTGAGAAAGAATTTTCCTTCAGTGAAACGTACACATGCTGCGTACTTCGCAACACTGTGTTTGACTACAACACTTGAAAAGTTGGGTAGATGCCGAGAATTGAAGAAGAAAGCAAGAAGCATGCGCAGTTAAAATGAAAATGCCGAGATGCATGAGTATGAAGAGCTTGAGAACCTAACTGACAAAGATACCTCGACTTTCAGAAGGAGAAAACTCTTGTAAAACCCAGGGAGGCGATCTAGTGACTGATATCCAGAATACTCTGATTTATGGAGGGAACATTTCTCCAATCTGCTGGATGGCAATGAAAATGGACACCAGTCGATGACGATGGAATAGATGTTTCACTTTCGGACTATGAAGACTTTCGGACTATGAAGACAAAGCGGCAGAGACTAGTCGAGCAATTCAACTACGCCGGTGAAGAACTAATAAAGTGCATGTATCAGCTTCTTTCAAAAATATGTCCAACGATTTGAACCTGTTCAATACATAAAAAGGGGGATACCACAGTCTACGCCAATAACCATGAGATCATCAATGTCGAATACAAAGTCCTTTCGAGCCTGCTGTGTGAAAGACTAAAGCCCATTGTCAAACAAATGGTCCTAATCAGTGTGTAAATCAATCATTGACCAGATATTCACCTTGTGCCAAATTTTTGAAAAGAATAGTGTAAAGAATCAACACGAAAATTAGTTGCCCCTACGCCGCTATGTCTTGACTTGGTATCCCCGCATAACTTGAACAGCTATGTAAACTGAAGTTAAACATCACTAAAAACTTCGCCAGAATCCGGGTTCCAGAAAAGTTGATTCCTTATCGTTTGACTTCTTTATTTTATTGCTGGAGAAAATAATACGGGCTGCAGAGCTGTATAGGGAAGGTGTAATCTTTTACAAGAGTGTATAACTATTGGCGCACGCCGGTGATATTGACATCAATGGACTCAACAACCGAAAAGGATGGATCATCTGATAGTAAACGAGAGCAAGACGAAAGATCTCCTGTCATTAAACAAACACTCTTTGCATTCGGGTCTCGGCATCCATGCCACTGCTGACAATCATAACATTGAAGAATAATGTCAGCCTAGAAATCAACGCAAAATCTCACTTGCCAAAAAGTTCTACTTTGGACTGAATAGGCATTAAACAGCGAAGGAAAGAAGTGAATCGCACGCTTTTGTTAACTCGACAGTAAATAAGAGTTCGGAGCTTGTAATAAACGCCTTAAAAGAATTGAGCTTTGAGTAAACCATAGTGAAAGTCTGGGAGTCAACTCTGAACAACGGAATAACCTTCGTTTAGGCAGCGCATCTGTTGCAAGATACACCACTTAAGGTACACTGCAAGGACTGTGTTGTAGCAGCATGCTTTTCTTCAGAAGGTTCAACCGACTTTTTGAACAGAGGACAGACTCACTGGCTCGTCAAGTGTTACCCAATAATTAACGATTTTAAAAGTATTAAAATATCGTAAATCAAGAAACAATAGGCAACTTGGTTTACATTACTTGATTTCAATGACAAGATTAGGCGCGAGATCCACACTCTGTCATTTTCAAACAAATTTGAACATGCCTAATGCAACATCTTCTAAACAGAACTTACTGCTATCATAAAAACCGCTGAATGGCTGATTAAGCATTCGATCACTAAACAATCTATTCCTATATACTCTGACAGTCAAGCTGCCAACACAACTCTACTCATCACCTCTCATGTACGTCACTGTTGGCAGTTATAACTTCTGGTTTTCTGGAAACCAGCTCCAACACCATCATCAATTAGTAGAAATACTCATCACATTAGGTTATACACTGGATTTAGAGAGCGGGTATGCTGATCGTATCGTCCGAAGCATGAAAACATTGCAATTTTGAAAGTTTGCGACGTACTACCCACTGAAAGAGAAAGAAAATACCTTCGCCAAGTTAATAGGTCGAAGTGAAGAGCAACTTAGCTTCACTTGGCATCTGCGATTGGTGCCTAATAGCAAAGGAAATGACTGGCACACTATTGTTGGTCGAGCTCGACTCCACTCTCAGGCTAGGTAGAAGATGAACTATTTAGATCCGTTACCAATATGTATATAATTTTGTAGCAGAGACAATACAAAATTTCTTCGTACTGAAAACCTTTTATAAAATTTCGAATTGTATTTAAACTAATGCAATGAAATCACACGCCATTTAGTCCCATAGTATTTATTAATTTCTCAAAAATACTGCCACCTTCCCACCGTTTTGAAAACCATATTACTTTTCTTGCTAAACTTGGAACGGAAAACCAAGATTTTTACCAAAATAATCTTTGCAGGAGTCAAGGCAATTTTTTCATAAACAAATTTAACATATTATTTTCAGTTTCTGTCATTCATTCTGTGATTGTCGGTGTCATATGTATGTCCGAATTTTCTTGTGTACCGAAAATGCAATGTCAATCACTGTCATATGCCTGCCTATTCTACTAAAGCACGCAAAAGAAAAAATGTATTAAACCAATTGTTTTTAAAATTCTTCTTTTTTTGTAGTCAACAATTTTCCGACCGAATAGAAAATTCAATTATAATTTCTATTCACTAAAGGCTTATATAACAATCACTCGCTGTTTCTCTTGCTTTTGCGCTCGCCTCTACACTGACTGTCTGTCTGCTTGCATCTCTGCACCTCAAATGCAATATACAATAATAATTATAATAATAATAATAAGGATGATGAGAAAAATAAACAACAACATATACACCAAATTATTATAATTTTTCTATTCTATATTCCCCATACATACTCGTACATACCATGCACACTTTGTAACTACAATACATACATACATCTCTATTAGAAATGTTGTAAAAATATAAAAGTGAAAAAGACAACCAAAAACAAAATTTTCCAGCATAAATTTCATCGCTATCGCTGTGATAATCCAAAGTGTATGCAAATATTCACACCAAACGCCAGCGATTTGAAATATACACGCAATCTACGCTGGTGGCGCAGTCCATATTATAAGCACCCAAACAACGAGGGCACCGATCTATTGGTGTGTAACGTTTGCGGCGAAACCCAAAAATTGGAATGGTTTTGGACATTCAATGCTGCACTTAATGACTGTGATTCGGTGGAGGTGCGTTGTAAGTTGTATGCGGCCGTTGAGCGGGCCGAAACGCAACTCGTTGAAATGAACGAGTGTAAAGTCGCTTTGGCGCGTCAATTATGCGAGCAATGTTTATTGATGCATCGAGGTACGTTGTAAATACAATAATACAATAATACAATAAAATACATAACAGTACAATATACAATATCGAACACAAACAAGTATTATTGAACATGAAAATAAATATAATATTCTCATCAAACAAAATACACATTTAAATCGTTAGTAAATATCCATACCGTACACATTAATTATCATAAGTACTGTATCTATTGATGTAAGGGCTAGTCGAGTGTATTAAAGTAATTAGTTTTTAGGATAATTTAATTGCATTATCTAATTACACAACCAAGAAATGTATACAATTGTATATAGTACCTAAAACATCGTGAGTAGACATTGTAGTATAGATGTATGTATGTAAAGCGAAAAGATATTCAGTTGTAGGAAAAAAATTTTGAGCTCGTAAAAAGTAATCCATTATTTTTGCATTGCATTAAAGGATTTATTTAGCTAGTTAAAATTATCTGATTTATGTCAAAAGGCTGGATAAATTTTTTGCCACTTTGATGACATTATCATTATGCTTCTCTCTCGAAAACCCTTGCTTCTTTTGGCACAAAACTGGCACAATCAATTTTCACTTGAGGACAATTTTTCACCAGTCAAATCATGCCACATTTACAGTAAGAGAAATATTCTCCAAATACCGGATAATTCCGGTATAAAGACCAGACTGTCGCAGGAACTATTGGACTTTAGTCGCCTCTTACAAAAGATATGCCTTACCGCTGGCAAATTCTTGAACCCCTAACCCGCAGGGGGACAGTGGCTATTAGGTGGATGCATATTCTCTGCGAATTACTATCAATGTGTGTGGTCTGGCATCGTCCTAACGAAACACAGTTCCTCTCCTGTTATCCAAAATTTTACGCTTCTGAGCGATTACTTCTATTTATTGTCCATTTGGTGACAATACAGATTTGAATGAAGAGTTTGGATACAGGGGAGTAGTTCATAGTGGGTGGTTCCTTGTCACTACCATCAAACACACAATAAAACCTTTCTGCCCGTCAATCCTGGGTATGCAACGTTTGTGTTGGCTCACTTCCGTTCGACCATGACCACTTTCATTTGACGCTGCTGTAAGTGGTTCACTTTTCAAAATTAGAAATGGATCAATTTTATTACGATTCTGCAGCCATTCACAGATGGAATTTTGGTTCATGAGACTTTTTACTTTTAACTCATGTGATACCCATTGAACATTGAGCTTCTTTGTGTACCTAGCCTTTTTCAAGTCACTAAAGCCATCCATTGCAAAAAATAATGGATTAATATTCGAAACCAAACTTTTTCATTTGAATTTAAAAAGATTTCCAAATTCAAACTAATAAAAGGAATTGTTTTTTTTTTACTAGTTTAAATAAGCAGTAGCATTAGAAAGTAGCACTAGAATGATTTTAAACTAATTAAAGTTATATTGATTAAAAAATATTTTGTGAGATCACGAAAGAGGATTCGGGAAAGCTATAAACATTAACCCCTTAATTTAATGGCCTGAAAAAAGTAGCACATTTTGATTGATTTAGAATAACAATACTATGTATTAAAAACAAATGTAGAGCTGACGAATTCGGAAAGAATTAACCAGTTAACCTAGTCAAATTCATTAACCCAAAAATATAAATACCAAAAATTTCTAGCTTTTGGATTTTACTTAAGCTTTTGAGAATATTTTAAAAGTTACTGGACAAACCAAGAAGCTTTTTTTATATAAAAAAAAGATCTTAAAATAATTTTTTAATTTATAAGACTACTTGAGATCTCTTCGCCGAACTATACAAAGAAGAATCGAGCGTTTATAGTAAGTAGGCTCAAACGGCTATTGGATTTTCATGAGAAACAGAAAATTTAACTTAACTTTTTCTTAAAATTAATTTTCTATAATTTTTGGAATTGGGTCCGGTTAAGACTAGAAACCATAACCACTCAGTTAAGCAGTTTTCCCCCTTATAGAGTATCTGTACCATTCGGAAGGCCAGGATTTGAAATTATAGATTTCTTTTTAATTACGGTCGATCTCCGAAAAGAATGTATATTTTGGCTGAATGTATTTCTGAAATAAAAAAAGCTTCTCATAAAAATACGTCGGCTATTCTGGGCATCCTAGTATTTCGTGTCTTTCTGACTAGAAATCGTATTACTAAATTTGTCTCGTTCTTTCTTAATCAAGAAGCAAACAACTCCATGCTTATTTAATCATTTAAAACCCACTGAATTACTTAAATATTTCAATACACATTACTTAAGCGTTTGGGCCTAAGTCAGGCCGAGGTGAATCCGACTTGACAGATCGGTAGCCACTTCAACCTATTCTCACCTGAGTACATATACGAGGGCCTAGCCAAAAGTTCAGTACGTTCAAAAAAGAAATTCTTTGCGCATTTATTCGTAATAATTGTCCTTTTTTATCTTCTTAACCCAATCGCTATTGATTTCAATGCATTTATTAAGCCTGTAGATCCACTTCTGAAAACAGGCTTCAAAATCGTTTTTTTTAAGCTTATCAAGTTCAGCATTAACCGCATTAATTATCCACTCACTGCTATTAAAGAACTTTCCTTTTATTTTGTTTTTTTAATTTTTGCTGGACGTATTTCTTCGATCAAAGAGATCGCAATAAAAATACTCGTTATTACAGCAGCAAGTAAAAAGCGTAAAAAGTAGCCCCGCGAATCCTCTCTCTTCCTGTTTTGCAATAAATTTTTGAAAACTTTTGCTAAGCGCTCTTCGGTGTAGAATTTTGCAGTTACCTACTGAGCCATTTCCACTGGAATAGAAGCTACGATTTTAGATCGGATGAAGTAAACTAACATCATTACTTATGCTGATGATTTTGGTTGCTTAGATTTTTCCGGTGGGCTTGCTCCTGTTAGGCCCCATACCATGAACTGCTGCTTGGTTTCTGGGTCGTACTTATAGAACCAAAATTGGTCACCAGCAGTGACCTTAATAGAGTTGCTAGACTGACCATTTTCGATTTTGTTTAGGAAAAATTGCGCAAAATGCAATCGAGCATCTTTTTGTTCCTCATTTAAAATTCGCTGTACCCAACGAGCAGATTTCTTCGTGAACTCATATACCAGATGATTACTTAATATTCGCGATACAGCCATTGCATTCAAGCCCAATTCATTAGCAATCATTTCTTCTGTCAATGGTGGGTCTTCGTCCATTTTGGATCTCACCAGAGATACAGTGACGTCATCAGTGGAAGAATTTGGTCGAACTTCTCGGAACTCGTCTTTTACGGAAAGCTGTCCGGTTTGGAACCACTCAGAAATAGTTTTTAAAGACGGTTTGGGATTAACTGAGTATTTGTATTGGCTGTAAATTACGCTGAAATCCGCAGCGAATCACATGGCGAATCTCTGCTTGCGTTGATGGTGGAATTTCGTCTGACCTCTCCTCAGCTAACTTGCGTTTACTAATCTCGATTTTAGCCGAACGTTCTAACAATTAAAAGGAGGACTAATAAAGTTATTGCAAAGGATTTGGTATCTTAAGATTTAACAAAAGCAAATCAAAAGTCACTACCTGACCGAACATTTGTTAATCCCCTCGTTTTTTATTTAAACTTTTGAATAAAGATATATAAATCACATGACACATAAATAAACTTTATGGAAAATATTTTTAAGCTAAGTATGCAAGCTAATTTCATTGAACGATGGCTTAAAAGTAAAGTTTATACTAATTTCTGAGAACTGTAGATCTAATTAGAAATTTTAGATACTATTTTTGAAAGCGCTATAATTTTTTTTTCGATTCAACAGAAATTTTACATTATTATAGGAATAAATATATACATACATAAATAATACAAACCTACATTAGTATAAAAAACTAAAACAGAACATTTCTTTATTAACAAACTGGTTTAAATAATTTAATTTAATATTTTTAAAAACTTACTAATCTCAGCTATGTAATTTCTTCTTTCTCTTTTCAACAAATTAACAATTTATACAAATATTTCACTATCACTTGACATTCCTATTTCATATATTAAACTCTTCATTGCTAACTTCATATTTTCCTCATCAAATTATACCAAAAATTATTTCTAACAGAGGCTCAAAAACCACTGGATGATTGGGAATTCAATAAACTTGGCTCCATTATGCGTAATGCTCTAAATATTGTTGCTGCACAATATAGTGTCTTTAGCATAGAATATATACAACACATGTCCTATTTTTGGGATATCATGGCACTTAGCAATTACAAATGCAGCGATAAGGAACTGATGCAAATGTTACAAGCCCTCGAATACATACCAGACGAATACAAAGAAATTTTTATTAACTACTATGATGACTTCATAACACCGAAATTCGCTGAGGAAACTTATACCAGTCTGATGGATACGCAAGTCTAAAATACAATATTACAAAGCTAACAACACGGTACATCGATGGAGATGGCTAAATGGAAAATCGACCAATTTAAAATGTTATGAAACTTTCAATGAACATGGACTTTTGAACTTTGAACTTGAAACTAAATTTATAAATGTAATAAATATTAGAGCTATGCCATAACTCGAACTCAATGTATGTATTTAACAACTCGTTACTCGGTATTCGACATCAAACACACCAATATGACATCCAAGCAACACATTAGCAAGAATAATGAACAGAACAACACAACACAATTGTAGTTTCATGTTATATTTTTGTCAAGAATTTAATTACACAAATTTGTTTATTAAAATGTATCATTGAAAATACTCTTTGGAGAAATATTTATAAACAAAAGAGGACTCATAAAAACAAAGCAAGCGAATGAGATATGGATATGTGTACCTTGCAAAGAAAGAAATCTCATTTAAATGCAACTGCAGGAAGAAATGAAATGCAACTTCGAATGATATTTGAGTTAAGCTAAATAACCAAGAAGCATGTATAACAATAAAAGTTGTACATTTGAAATTTAACAATGAGAGTTTAAAACTCATTTTGTGGAAAAAGTGTGCTATATTCTTGTAAATGGTGTTTTCTGCAAATGTATGCTTTTAAGTTCGCAATTCAGTTTAAAAACTTGTATATATATACATATTTATGTTAATTCCAAATATTCCACTGCTGAGTTACGATATACATAAATATATGTAAATTCCAGTAAAGCAAATTCCATAATATTCCACTGCTGAATTTATTGTAAACCATATTTATAAAAATACTTCTGCATAGAGTACATACATATTATACATAAAAAAATATGTGAAATAAAAAGAAATCATACCTTAATGATTAGAACACTACCATGTTCTTCACGTGCGAATTCCATTTTGAATCATACTTGTTATGCAATACTCAAATACTCGTACTCGTAATCATCAAACTTCTCACTTATTCGTAGTACAATACATACATACATACATACATACATACATATACTATTTAAAGAACTAAAAGAGAAAAAGAAGAAAGCAATTTAAGAAAATGTTACTCAAAAAACAGTTAAAAGATAAATGTAAAAAATAACATTATTTAAACAAAAAAAAACTTAACATGTTACACGAAAAGCAGTGAACTTAGGGAGCAGATTAAAAGCTAAATAATACTATTTATTAATCGAAGTTAATGCGGCTAAAAACACTGCAAATCCTGCAAATAGAATAAAAACTGTTATTCTTATGCTAAATAACAGCATAATTGAAATGTAAATGAAAAGTGAGCTTAAAGAATTAAAAAAAAAAATGCAATAAAATTAAAATGCAAATTTAATTTGTTTCACGCGAATAACCAAATTTTAAACACTAGATCAGCGAACCAAGGAACACACTTTAGTCTATTTTGCTAGAGTTTCAAAAAAGGCGAAATTGATATTGAATGGGTTTAAAATGCTGCTAACATTGCGCTTTTTTAAGTTTTAATCAAATTATTGGCAGTGAAAACTTGTTCGAAATATGAACAGAAATTTGTGTTGTGAAATTTTTCATTAAGTAAATATAAAAAAAAATTAATAGGGTTAGTTATGTAAGTAGTAAAGGCATATAATGTTAAAAAAAATTGAATTCGAAATATTTTTTAATAATAAATATGATTTTAAATGAATTTCCTAGAAATATAGAGGGTTTTCTTTAAGAGGTGTTATTTCTAATACTCTGCTATTCCGGTAGATGTCACTTTTGAAGCTATCGTTTTTTGACCTTTGACAAGTAAGACCTATAACAGTAGTAAAAATGGAACGACACGCGCTTCAATAACGCATTGGCATTATTAAAATTCATTATAAAACCGGCGAAAACCTGTCAGAGACGGTTCGTAAAACTAAAACATTTTTCGGTCCTCATGAAGCACCATGTCGGACCAGAAATTGGTGGAAAAATATAGAGATATGGAGAATAAAGCACTCCAGAAAAAGTGAGGATGTTGCTGCTGTAGCCCAAAGTGTTAAATAAAGTTGGGCATATTCCACAAACGTCATTACAGCATAAAGACGTGGGTCTTGAGGCTTATAAAGTTCCGTTGACGCAAGAACTCAAGCCAGCCGATCATCAACAACGTCATGTACTGCTTATTGGATCATCGAAATGCCTGAGAATTATCAAGAATTTCATCGAATAATCATCTTAGCTAATGAATTCAGTTAAATTCAAGCTCGCTACTGCAAAACTATGGCATCTGAGACACGACAAACCCAAGACTTATTGTTGAAAAGCCTCTCCAACCTCAACGTGTAACTCTTTGTTGAAATTTTATGGTCCAGCGGGGTCATTGAGCCTGTTATCCCACATCTTATCCCACTATCTTTTAAGGGAAAAGTTGCCGGACCGTGTTATCTCTCGAAGAGGTGATCGCAACTGGGCACCACGGATCTAGTGATTTAAAACCTTGTGACATATTCCTTTGAAGCCACGTAAGGTAAGGTGTACGGCAACATCGATACCTCAAAGAAGGAAATAATGATGTTATCGAGGGCATACAGCAGCCAATTTAGCGACTTGAAGATATGGAAAATTTCATAAAAAAGATACGATTCGGTTGCCTGATATTGTTTGCCATTATTAATGGTTTTTCGTATTCTTCACATTGAAATAAAGATCCGATCATTTATCTTAATTTAAAAAATTTTCCTTTGAATATCAAAATGACAGCTCCTAACGGAAAACTCTGTATAATATTTAAAAATATATTTGACTTTCCTCATTTGTATATTATTACAGTAATTACTTCAAATACTATTTTCCATCCCTTAAGCGTGTTTGAACTGACACCCTGACGATAATAAATATTTAGAGTAGATACAAAAAGAATAAAAAAAATACAAAAAAATGTTTAGCTTCCGAGAAGCCTGCGTACTTATTATGAGCACACATCATTTTAAATTAATTTATTTGTAAATTAATAGTAAAAGTATATTAAATTAATATTAATTAATTATTTTAAAAAAGAAAATCTACACCTGAAACTGCATTCATACATATGTTTAATTGAAATTTCTGGTTGAACTCGTCACTAGTACTTTAGCATATCAAAACTAACACACATACAAACATACTCGTACATACATATGTACATCTAATAGTACGTTATTTATATAATATATATATAAAAATAATGATTTGTGTTCGCTAAATAAAATAATGTTAATAAAGAAATATTATTTAGATTTAAGTTAACTCTAGAAAATGTGTATAATTAAAATTAATTAAACTCAATAATCATCATGTTAAGGAGTGAGCAATGTATTTTAAATTTAATATAGTCAATTTTTTAGTAACAATTTTATTGGTCATTTTGTGTTGATAATTTCACCTAACATATATACGAGTATATACGCATATATATATATATATCCATTTGTTTGTATTTGATAATTGTTGAATATTTTTAATATATGTATATGTATGTATATCATTAATTTCTCTTTGCGTACCTCAACTGTAGTACCTTATAGGCGTATCCTTGTAGGCGTCTAATTTATTAAACGCCCACGCTGAGCCCCAAACTTGAGTTTTGCGGCACCGTAACCACAAAAATAACTCAACCCAAAATATTTATGTTAATTACGTACCTAACTAATATTAATAACTTTATTATTAAATAAATATTTTATGTTAAAACCCTATAGGAAAATGTTGAGTTAGAGAATTTTTAGAAAATGTGAAGAAATTTAAAAAAAAAAAAGCTTAGAAAACTTCTTCAAACTCTTTTTAAGGCAGTACATGTGATAATAGCTTATAAAGAGTACTCTATGCCCGCGTCACTTGTCTTAGCTTTGTTTATTTAAACTAAGACAAAATGCTGGGATCCCATCTGGACGCCGAGGACTAGCGAAACGCAGCTGAAGAAGCTACAAGTCAGCCAAAACATCGCCCTCAGGACTGTGAAAGGAAACCTCCTAGTGCACAGTACAAGTTAAGGTGCATAAAACAGCAGAGAACACTGACTAGAAGCCAAACCTCCACCTACGCACATCAGGAAGGAAGTACTCAGCACCACACATAATAACAGCACTCTCCTCCAGTGAATGGCATTTTCAAAGTCAAATCACCAAGAACTCGAGCTGCCTCAACAGAGAGTCCCGCGTAGTGTTGGCACAATTAAGATATGGATACTGTGGTAGATTATATTCCTACCTATCCAGACTTTATTCACACCTATGTCCTGCATATAATGAGGCCCCGCTCGAAGCTGACCATCTCTTTGCATGCCCCTTAAAACCAACTTATCTAACCATCTCTTGCCTCTAGTCCTAACCCGTCGAGACGACTCGTTTCCTGGACCACCCGTTAGATGACCTTCATGACTGAGACAGATCTTGACCACTCCTAAGTGGTGTTAGACTTGGCGCTGCAACAACAATAACTCTGGTTATTTGTGGTTACCGCGTCAGTCAAACTGTAACTGTGAAATGTAGAAGCAAACTAAACAAATTTTCGACTAAATTGAACTCGACCGTGGTCCGGGTACCCGGACTCAGTAACATCTCAGGAAATTGCACTCCAGATGAACTAGCAAGAGAAGGAATTCCTTTTATCCGTAATAAGATATGCGCACGACGCTGATTTACCTTTGTCCACGGCGAAGTGTGAAACTGGCATTTGTCAAAGGAGCAGCCTCTAGATGGCCGAATGAAACACTACTTTGACTTACTCGCTGAGCAAGCTTGAGCAAAAATTGGTAATTATGTAGCTCTTATACGAAATGGTTCGAACAATTGAGAAGACGAAGCCTTACAGCGATACAATACTGTTCGGTGAGCCAGTAAAATTTTCACCGAGAGATCGCTTTTTACTCTTTTTACTCCTAACTGCTACGAGTGTATGTCAAATTATATGTCAAAATGACACTTGGTAGACAATTTGTGGAGATCAAGAACAAGCGCTGGATAATAGAAAATCAAGGGAATTGTTACAGCTTTAAATTATACCCAAAATTGTGTTTTCGATTTCCAATTCTTAAGAATTATTCGTCTTAAATTTTTGAGTTTCCCCAAAATTTAGATCTCCCCATTTCTGTTGACATTTCTAACTAAACAGTTTTCGATCTATTTACTATAGTTTTGTATAGTTTCATTAATAATCAATTTAACATAATATTCAAAATTTTACTGAAGCTAAAAATATAAGGCAAAGAAATGTTAAGGAAATAAATTAAAGTTAATAATAGTAATAATAATAATAATAATAATAATAATAATAATAAAACGAAATACTAAAAAAGGAATCAAAATAATGTTTTTTTAATTAAAACTAAGCAAAGGCAAGAGCAAAATAAAACAGGATATTAAAAATTAAAATAATAATAAATCAAAATAAACAAAGTAAAATAAAAAAAAATTTAACAAACTATGTTAAAATTAAATTGAATTAAAAAAGCTATCTATAAGCAAAAACAAAATACCATATTATAATATAACATACATAATATAATACGTGAATAAAGTCAACGCCAAAATCAAATTGATTTAATTGAATAAATTACAAAATATGATAAATTGTATAGTAAACTAAACCAACTGGAAACAAAACAAAATAATATAAAATAAAAAAATTATAAAATAAAATCCTTTAACTTAAGTAATTACTAATAAAATTAAAATAAAATAAAGCAAAATGAAATAAAAAAAATATAATAATTTAAATTAAATAACATAAAGCAAAATAAAATTTTATATAAATATAAAACATATAAAATAAATAAAGAAAAGTAAAAAAAATAAGATAACATATGAAAAATGAAAAAAATAAAATTATAATAATAGCACATCAACCAGCAACAACATATAGTATAAATAAATACAGTAAACAAAAAAAATGAAAATAAAACATATAAAAAAGTAATTCATAATAAAAAAAATAATAAAAAATACAAACCGTAAAATTTAAATAATTTAATATATATATGTAAATAAATTTGATATAAATTTGAAAATAAAATTAAATAAAAGATATTAAATAAAATAAAATCGAATTAAATAAAATTAAAAAATTAAATTAAATTAAACAACCTTATATTAATAATAAATGAAATAAAAAATATAATAAAGTTAAAAATAAGTAAATAAACTTAATTAAATATAATAATAAGAAATAAAATTTAATAAAATCGAATTAAAAAATATAAGAAAAATATATTAATAAAAAATATATTTAAAAAAATTATTAAACGATCTTAAATAAAATATAAAATAAAAAATTTTATTATAATTGAATTGAATTAAATTAAATTTGAATAATTGAATTGAATTAAATTAAATTTAAATAAATTAATTAAATTACATACAATAAAAATGAGAAATTAATTAAATCAAAACTGGATTAATATAAAATTAAATTGAATTAAATAAAAAATATGAAATAAAATAAAATTGAATTGAATAAATTAATGATAATACATAACAAAATTAAATGAAATAAAAAAAAATCAAACAAAATAAAAAATAAAATAAATTAAAATGCTATAAAATTAAAAAAAAAATATTATTTAAATTTAAAACATACGAAAAAGTTAAATAAAACAAAATTAAATTGAATTAAATTAAAAAAAAGTAATAAAATTATATATAATGAAAAATAAATTAATTAAATAACACAAAGCAAAATTTAATTATTTAAATTTAATTGAATTAAGTAAAGAAATATGAAATGAAATTAAATTGAATTAAAATAAATTAAAGAAACAAATTTAGATGAAAAAAAAATAAAAAATAAATAAAATGAAATAATATAAAATAATACAAAATTAAGTATCTAAATTTAAAAGAATATAATAAATTAAATTAAATTAACTAATAATAAAAAAAATTAAGTATATTATATAAAATAAATTAGAATTGAATTAAATTAAATTTAAAAAATATAATAAAATTAAGTATAATGAAAAAAAATTAATTAAAACAAAATTGAATCAATTTAAAATTTAAATAAATCAAACAAAGACATGTGAAATAACATTAAATTGAATTGAAATAATTTTAAAAAAATATGTAACACAACTAAATGAAATAAATAAAATTAAAAAAATAAAATTAAGAAAATAAAATTAAATTAAATAATATTAGTTATTTAAATTAAAATAAACTAAATAAAACAAAGTTGAATTAAATTAAATATAAATAAAAAAGTTAAGTAAAACAAATTGAAACTAAGCTCAATAATATAAAATGAAATTAACTAAAACAAAATTCAATTATATTAACTTTAAATTAAATTAAATAATATTAAAAAAATTGAATTGAATTAAACTAAAAGATAATATTAAAAATTTAAATCAATTAAATTAAATTAATTTAAACTTTTTAAAGCAAAATTAAACAAAATAAAATTAAATAAAACTCAACAAAATTTAATTAAAAATTCATATAAAAAATTATTTAAATTAAAATTATATAAAATCAAATAAAACTTTATTACATATTAAATATAAATGACATGAAAAAATGCAATTAATTTAAATGAAAAAATACTTAATAATCTTAAATGAAATTATATAATAGAAAATGAAAAAAATTAATTAATTTAAATGAAAAATTGTAAACTTAAATGAAATTATATATTATAGAATGAATTAAAGTTTAATTAAATGAAGTGAAAAAAAATTATATAATAAATATAAATAAAATTAAATAATATAAAATAAAATAAAATTCACTTATTACAAAATAAAATATATAATAAAATTGAGTTAAAATAAATAAAATAATATAAATAATAAAATTGAATGAAATTAAATCAACTTAATTAATATAAATCAATAAGATAAAATAAAATAAATTAAAAGTAAATTAGATTAAATTAAACTGAATTAAAAAAATAGAAATAACTTCATTTAAATAAAAATAAGTTAAAATAAGAATATTAATATAAAAATATAAAATTGAATTTGAAAAAACGTAATAAAATTAAATGAAATAAATTAAATTTAAATAAAATGAAATACTTACGAAAAAAATATTAGAATTAAGACTGTTAAAACAGCAATAAATAACAAGCTAAAATCCATATGTACAAAGAATTAAACGAAAAATTAAATTAATAAAAACTCAACACAGAAACTAGCACCGTACGAAAAATTTCATATATATCACACATACATACCTATGTATAGGCATAAATACATTATTGTAAAACCTAATAATGCAAAGGTCTTGAAATGAACGCCAATTGTTTTGAACGCTAACACAAACACAAGAACACATTTACACAAAAACACAGCAATATAAAACACACTCGTTACCGCGTAACCGGTTACTACTCGCTTTTATTGCTTAACTCTGCCAAAAGTAATTTCTTAAAAATGAAAAATGAAAAAAGTTTATAAAAATGTAAATTGAAAATATATTGAAATAAGCAAAACATCATTTAAATATGTAATTCTACATAACCAACAAAAAGTAAATAAGTGACAACAAAACGTAATTCGATAGAACATACATATGTACATTTATCACTAAAAAAAAAAAGAAAACAAATAAATCAAAGCCAAATAAGCATATGTATGCACGTTATTCGCTTGTACGCGTACGGTTTTTTTATTAAACAAAAATTTATTAGCATTGTATTTATTATAGTGTTGTAGCGTGCAAGTCGAGAATAAAAAAAAATTCGGAAGAAAGCAAAATAATAAATATATGAATTAAATTTAAATTAAACGTAAGCGAGTTTGCTAATTAGCTTAAATATTTAAATATGAATAAATTTTGCATATAATGAAATCATTTAAGAACCTCGCCTTGTTTTTAATACATACAGTATAAAAATTATACATATTTACAAATATATAAATAATAAATATTATAAATAAAATTTATTTCAAATTTTTTTTTTGAGCAACTTGCAATAATTGCAGAAGAGACCCGCAAACAACACATTTATATTTATTGCGAAAGCAACAGAAATGCGGCAATAGCAGTTATTGATAGCGGCATAAAACAAAAACAATAAACATTAACAATTACGATTTTTTTATGATACGCAACGTTTAGTGATTAATACTATTACATACATGCATACATACATATATTCATTGAAGGATATGAAAAAAGCGAACGCATTGTTATTTGAAAAAAAAAAAAAAACAATTCAAAAAAGAAAAAAGACCAATTTCAATAATTAGCATATTTAAGTGACTAAGAAAAATCAAAATATAAGGCATTAAATGAAATAATAATAACATTGAGCAAAATTATGAGATTCATGCAAAACCAAAAAGAAATTGCAAAAAATCAAATCGCAACTGCAAAAAGCCGAATTCATGTATGAATATATTAATAGAAAAGAAAAATAATACAGAGAACGCTATATTGCAATAAGCAAATTAATATATATGGCTGGCATAGTGAAAGGGGAAGCAAACACATGGGGGTGTGTACATAGATTGAGACAAATAAATACAATGGCAAAATTATGATTATACATACTTCTTTTTAAATAAAGTCGAAAGCATACGCTAAATATGTATGTGAATATACTTTTTATTTATTATGGAAAAAACAGTCGAGAGGTATTAAATAATTAAAAAAATAAAAACGGTAAGTGATCGGAGAGTAAATTTACTTTCGACATTTCCTAAATCATTTTCAGATTCTACGTCCTCCTACGCTGCTTAAATCTTTGAGGCAATAAGTAAAAAACTTTGAAACCTAACGAAATACTTATTAATAATAAAAAAATATAATACAACTCACCGTACAGCAAATAAATCTTGAGTTAAAATTTCTGTTAGTCTTTTACTGTTTAGTATAGTGTTGTTAGTTAATTTACTGCTACGTATTAGTGCTGATCTTCTAATGTCCCTTAAGGTGATTCTAAATACTCTTCTATGTAACTGTTCTTGAAATAAATACTGTTGATTGTTGTATTAAAATGGCCTTGCGACAAATTGTATTTCTGTACCAAATATTTTTTGTTTTAATTTCATTACTTAAGCTAACCAATTTCAATTTACACTATTTCTTCAAACAATTAACTTTTCCTTTACAAAATGCTCGGAACGATTGAGATGTACGAATAGTACAGCAGCTGCTAAGCGCGCTTGCAGCTCTTGTTGACTCAAATCATGTGCCCACTCCACGCGACCCCAAAATTTCGATTGATATTCCTCTTCCAGGCGTGCCAATGCAACAGCCTTATCAACGGTTATACGTTGATCAATGGTAGCGAATGCTAGTAAAACTGATTTTAAAGTGTCTACGGCATAAATGAAACCTGAAAAGTTGGCAAATGCTTTTAAAGTGATGACATGATTACATTTACATTACATTTCACAAATATACTTACCAAACAGCACATCTTCGCTGTGCGAGAGTAAATATTTCGATACCTTCATTTTATCGTCGGCGGTTACATTTGGTGGAGACATTACCATTGTTTTCTCTAAATTGGTACCATATCGTTCATTAAACCAATTAATAATTGGATCCCATTCATTGCGTTGTAAGTCATGCAGATCTTTTTCATCCTATTAGTATACAAATTAGGACTATTAACTTTTTAATATAACATATAACATAATAAATATACTCACATCATACTGGAAGAGCACTGTGTCAGTTGCAATGTAATTCAATATGTAATTGACCATATCCGTTTTCGTATGCTTATTAGGATTATCTAATGCCGTAAAACATAATGCTGATAAATGCATTTTAGAACGTTCAATGTGCTCCTTCTGTGCTTCAAACTCTGTGGCTACAGCTATTGCCAGTGGTTCACTTTTCACGGTGAATAATGTGCCATTTGGTGTCTTTAATTTTCGGCTATCAAGCGTTACTTCATACTTGCCATCATTATAGAGTACTGAAGTTTTCTTATAGAATCGTTTTGGCGCCGCAGCTATATTTAGGAAAAGGAAATGAAATGAACTGCAGGAAACGCCATATTGAAATATTAAAAGTTACCGTAAAATCTTTTTGACAGTTGCTGTGGCGCACATAATAGTGTTGTGACTGGTTTTCTTAATAATTTGAAATAATTACTCATTTTATGTATTCAAGTTCTATTTGATAATTATTTATATATCAAAAATGTTATGAAATTTAGCCACACCGGTGCAAATAAATTGGACTGAAAATAACGAAGTGGTAAGAAACAGCTGATTTGGGAATTAATTGTTCCATGGTTGCACTTACGTAATGCGTTCACAAAAACTTAATCAAATCGAAGCATTTTTATGAATAAGAATCGACATGACGACATAGGCGTACATATCGAATATATTTAAAAGCTTTCTTTGATCATGTTAGAGTGTGCTAATAAAATGTGATAATAATATTAGTAAAACTTATGAAGAAATATCGTATTAACATACGTTATTCTTATACGCTCTTTGAGTTAGCGAAGTCGCTACACTTTTCAAAAAATTATCTGGCAGCATTTTGGGAATTCTTCGAAAATTTCCCATGTCGAGCAATTGCAGCCAACATGAGTTGGGATTTGCTAACGAAAAAATAAAGCTTGGTTATTGTACTATATACCGAAAATTGTACAGAAATTTCTATTTACCGATCAGATATTCTCGTGTAAAAATTTTTAAATAGGTCGCCAAAATGAGCGTTGAAGAGGAAGTTTTCAAAATACAGAAGAAAATACAAAAAATTACGTCGAATGATGGTACGGTAAGTAGTTACGACAATCGGAGGTGTTGCTGCAGCCGCCCGGGTGCGTGCATATTTACAACTATACTAACATTGCGGTGGCTCTATTATCAAAATGCGCGCGCGGCCGTAGTTAAGCATGTATTTGACACATGTATACTCCAAAATATATTAAGCATTACATCTGTGCATACATGTTAAATTTTAAAATTAATTTATTTTCCAGGGGCAAGAGCAAGCACTAGATTTGCTAAAAGCATTGCAAACTCTTAACATCAATTTGGAGATATTGACTAAAACACGAATTGGCATGACGGTCAATGAACTGCGTAAGAGTAGCAAGGATGAAGAAGTAATATCCTTGGCTAAAACACTCATTAAAAATTGGAAACGATTTCTTGCTGCGCCGGGTTGTACAAATAGTAGCTCGTCCAAAGATTCAGCAAGTAGCAATAACGTTTCAAAATCATCATCGGCCAGTAAGTCTAGCTCATCATCATCAAGTAAAGACAAAGAGAAGAGTTCATCATCATCGAGCTCATCTAAAGATAAGAAACGAGACGATGACAAGAAAAACAACTCGAATGCATCATCTTCTTCGACAAAAGATGACCGCCGACAAATGCAGTCCTCATTCCCAAATACAGGTGGCCTGACCGATGCGGTACGGCTCAAGTGTCGTGAAATGCTATGTAATGCTCTTAAAGTAGGTGAAGTGCCTGAAGGTTGCCCAGAACCAGAAGATATGGCTACTGAATTGGAAGAAGCTATATATATGGAATTTAAAAACACCGATATGAAATATAAAAATCGTGTACGATCACGTGTTGCAAATCTTAAGGATGCGAAAAATCCAACATTACGTAGTAATTACATGTGTGGTGCGGTAACTGCACAACAATTGGCACGCATGACACCTGAAGAAATGGCTAGCGATGAAATGAAGAAATTACGTGAGAAATTTGTAAAAGAAGCTATAAATGACGCTCAATTAGCCACAGTACAGGGCACAAAGACCGATCTCCTCAAATGCGGTAAATGTAAGAAACGCAACTGTACATACAATCAATTACAAACACGATCCTCTGATGAACCTATGACAACATTTGTCATGTGCAATGAGTGTGGCAATCGCTGGAAGTTCTGCTGAAAACGAAACCTGCATAAAGGGGAATGGATATTTGCTATTTAAAAATTTACTTATTAATTAAGTGTTTTATTTTAACACAAGGTAGAATGCTACCCAGTATCAATGCAGTTTGTGGAAATTCTGTTTTTTAATTTTTATTATAAAGATACGCAATTGAAAAAGTTTCAATTTAAATTAAAGTATGAAATTATACATATTATATATGGTTGTCACAAGTGATTTAAAAGTGAGTACATACTGATGTGCGGCATGGGGTAGTTGGTGTTATCAATGTGATGAATATTTTTCAAAGAGGGGTAACGCGTTTTCAATGTGACTGATTGAAAGTTTTGATTTCTAACATGAATTCTTCCAGCTGACGTCCGTTTTTGTATGCATAAATTATTTCATGCCTATTCAATTGTATAGCTTTAATAGTTTTAATGAAATCACTTAGATCTATAATGAGTCAGAATGCAAGGCGAGTTAAAGGCATGTTCTTTTTTCAATATATTAAAAGATTTCAATATCCGATTATAAATATGTACACGTATGTTCGTATAATTTTATAACAACTTGCGTTGTGCGCCTTGGTGTATTTTTGAATGAGTGAAGAGAACTTCAATTTATTTGAAGCCGGTTCCAAAAATCTAATAGATTTTTGTGAGGAGCTTTTTGTTTCTTGTGTCGTATTCTGGAGAGGGGCGACAGCACTCTCTGTTCTAAATTTTATATATTTTTATGGGCGTTCCAATATTCCACATATGTTAATGGTTTAACGCCTCGATCTAAGCAGATTAGATGTTAGCAGTTTCGTAACAAATGGATTGGGTCACCATTCAAAGAGTTAATGAAGGTGTAAACAAACTTTCTGGGAATAACGTTTATGGTTTGCCGTTAGTTCGTTGTTGTAACCGCAAAATATTCCCCGAATTGAATTTCGAAAATATTGCGGTAGTGACAGCCCCCGACTGCATTATTAGATTTTAATCGCTTCTTACGACAGGCATGGCATGTCTTACCACTGTCAAATTCTTGCACCCCAAATCCGCAGCGGCTGTCACGTCGAGCGGTTCTGCCCGTCTTTATATGCCAGCTGGGTAAGTTGTTCCTTCTCGCTAAAGCTGTGAGTATTTGTAATGTGTTGGTTTTCTTGTAGCGCTGCTCCAACCCCTCTAGGTCATCGATGCCATCTAACGGTATGTGTGGGAAAGGGAGGTTAGAAGAGTAGGTTTTAGGTTGTCATGCAAATAGTTGTTTAGCGTCGTGCATAGCCCTTATTGCTTGCAGAGCATTCGTTGGGTATATCGGGTCCCAGTCTGTAGATAGGAAGTAAGTCAAGGTCAATTAAGATTTTAATTGTGTCAGTAACAGTGATGTGTCACACGACTGACCGGTATTTGTGATTACTGTCTCTAATGAGTATCGCATCAGCAATATTTCAAGTTCTGATTGCGAGATTCTATTCAGGATTCATGAAAATTTCCAAGAGATCGACTTCAATTGAAAGCATACATTTACAGCAGTAACGAAACACACACAGGGTTTCGATTGACTTCTTCGCTCTTGCGAGAATTCTTTCAGAGGCCAATGTGTAACGTTGATTGTACTTCGACTACAACAGGTGGAGTAGTTTTTTCATTCCTTTATTGACTGCATAGTTTTGTTATTTTTCATGAAATTATTTGGAAGAGTAGGGACCACTGTAAGGAGATGAGTTTATTGTTAGCCCTCCGAAAATTAATTAATTAAGTCTGGCATCAGTTTTAAAACTATATGTATCACCGCAGAGTGCCGTACAGGTTTGTTATATATTAAAAACCGATTACTTTACTGCCAAATTCCAACATCACCAATGCACAAAACTTCACAACACGTCTGGGAACACCATAGCGGTAGGTATTAGCCGGTTTCTTTTCTTACCCGTTTTGGAGTGCTAAAGTTAAACAAAAAAAAAGAACAATATATATAGTAGCAGTGCCAACAACAACAACAGCGTTTAAAATACATTAACACCAAATCGTCTAATACGGGCGCACGTCTACTAAAACAACAACAACAACAACAAACATTGCTCACCAAACATCCAAAGTACTGATCATAAAGCCGGCTACTCAAAGCCACGAGCGTTGACAATGAGACGACGTTGATTCCTACATCGCGTGTATGTCCACAACGTCAGTGCTAGTGCTCTTCATGTTGGTGCTTATAGTGCTCGTGGTAGTGGTGCTTTGGACGTCGGATGTACTGAGAAGAGACACAACACAAAGAGCTCAAAGTCAGTCTGCGTTTACCTGTTGTCGGTTGAGGTTGTGCGAAACGGAATAATTTTCGAGGCTCAGAAACAAGTGCTAAGAGAAGAAGGTAAAAAAAAAAAAAAAATTAGAGGAAGAAAAAAGTTTAAAAAGAGAGTAAAAACCAAACTCACGCACACCTGCAAACACACATATACACATCCAAACATATGTATCTACACACATATGTACAAACATTGTGGCAATTGGTTAGAAATTGGCTAAAAGTGCAATGTAGTGTGGAGCGTATGTGACGAAGAATATCTGTTTGTGTGTGTTCGCGTAGAAACGGTTAAAAGTGGCAACGAGAAATGTATGCACATTTGTTTGTAGGCTTAGGTATGTACATATGTGCACATATAAATATAAAAGATTAAAAAATATATTAAAAGGGAGAGAAAATTGTGTAGCGGCTCAGATACTCATATTACAGACATATATACATATGTGTGTGTATAATGGCTTAATGCAACTTTAAAGATTTAACTGTTTTTTTTGTTGTTGCGATAAAGTGTAGAATCGTTGCTGTTGATTATATATATCTTTTTTTTTCAATTTTTCTTTACACATTTAAGTGAATGGAGATGGATAAATGCAAATTTACAAATACCCAAACAATGAAATTGAAATAAAAAATAATTAAACCAAATATACAGATACATACATAGTTAAAAATGTGTTTAAAATGTGTGTGTTGCGCTAAAACTTTTGTTCATTAAAAAGAGAAAAGAAGGTGAAGAGGCAAAATAAGAGGAAGCAGATTTTAAGATTTGCATATTAAAAAATTTTTTGAACAAAAAGTAGTTGTTGTTGGACGTGCTAGTGCTAAGTGATTGTTTAAGCAACTAGTTAGCTGGCAAGCATATCGCTGGAACTCAGTGATTGACTACACGTACACGTACATACAATATGTATGTTTGTATGTATTCCTGCATATTGACCCAATTTACGCAACCAGTTCCCATGCCAAAGAACTCATCAAATATATTTTCCAGCTGGAACTCAACTCAAGTATTAAGTGGAGCTCTGCACATCGTATCGAGTGTCGTAAGGAACTGGGGGGAGAAACACCGAGTTTCCGAAAATAAATCTATAAACTTGCACCATTACTACATCTACCACCAACAACACGTAGTGTGACCTATAAAGAGTAGCTGCTAAGAAAAGCTTAGGAGAACATTGCACATTAAGGAAAAACGGCAAAGGCGAACGTGCAAATAATTTCAGTGCATTCACCTTAGAAGAGACGGTGCGAGTAGCTCACGCTTGTAGACAGAAAAAAAGAAAACAAATAGAATAGAATATAAATAACAAAAATAAAAAAAAAAAACAAGAAAAAAGAATAAATAAATAAATAAATCTAACCAAAAAGGGGCAACTAAATATGATGGCAACATAGGCATACGTACATAAAAGCAACAACAATAACAACAACAAATAAGTGTCTTACGGTGAAAATTTTTTCTTACTGTAAGTCTTCGCATAAGAGAACTGGAAAGACCACAAACAGCAGCAGAAATGAGGAAATACATATATGTATATGTACGAGTATGTTGAAGAAGAAGAAACGCAGAAAAAGACCACTAGTAAGCACTTATAACAGCACCAAATAAAACGAACGACAAAACTTAATGCGAGCCACAATCAACAAGCGCCAAACAGCTAGCGTTCATATATACTCAGCTCCAACACAGCTGCAGCTTTTCAGTGCTTAAGAGATGTAGCGGCGGGCGGTAGGGCTCTAGATAAAAGTAAACGTCAAGCCGCGTTAAAGTAGATAGAGAGAATCGATAAGAAAGTATGTTGCAAAAACAGTTAAAAAAGCAAGCTAAAGTTAGACTAACTCACAAGCTAAAGTTAGACCAACCGAAATCGTTTTCAATAGACCAAAGTGAGAAAAGAGTAGAGGAAACGTTAACACAGAGACTGAGAGAGGGAGCGAGGAGGTAGAGCTGCAAAGATGCGCGTGCGCTGAAGCAAAACCGCTAAGCAACAGCTAAAATAGTGAGAGCTCAATATAAAGATTCAAATTGAAAAGTAAAATTCTCACTAAACTTCACTCTGACTTCCTATTTTTACAAAAGAATGCAACTTCCAAACCGGGCCCTTTAACAATTCAGTCTAAAGTCCAACATATCTAGCAACCGTAGCATATGTTTAAAGCAGCCTGCCTGTTCGACCATACTGAAAAATATTTCAGAGGGTCCCCTATGCTATATTTTCTCAAACGAAGAAGTTGTGGTTGTAACCGGAAAATATACGCCGAATTAATTTTCGGGAATTATTGCGAGAGTGGCAGCCCTTGGCGGGATAAAAATTCGTTCTTCTAAAAAGCTCCGACTCTATTGGATTTTATTCGCCTCATACGACTGGCATACCTTACCACGGTTAAATTCTTGAGTCCCAAACTTACCGGGGGCTCCAGACTGAGATCCTCTAGCAGGCCGCTCTTAGGCCAGCACTGCTTATCCCAATTATGCTTTTGCGAACAGTTTCCACCTAGCACCCATTGCGATAAGATTGGAGTTCGTAGCAACGTGAAATATTTGACGTCTTAATCAGTTGAAGACCGTGTACTACCAAAGGTTGTTGTTATTGTTGTAATGGTTCGCTAGCCCAGCTTAAGAGCACACTGGATCTGTCTAAGTCATTGCGGGCATCTAACGGTAGATTCAGGAAACGAGCTGCTTTGACGGGTTCGGACCCGGGGAAAGAGAGGTTAAATGAGTTGATTAATGTCTTACGGGGACTCATTTCATGCAGGACATGCATACATACGTTGGGTATGTCGGGATCAAGTTTGATTATGTAGCAATTTAATCTACTACAATATACAGATCTAAGTTGCGCCAGTATTACGCGGAATTCGAGAGGCAGCTAGAGATCTACGTCTGTAATAGGTGGTGGCCTGACCCTGAGAGTCTGAGAACGCCATTCAATGGAAGAGAATTCAGGAAGGTGTTGACGGACTCTTGGTGAATGCCTTTAAGTATGTCGCCCTGTTCAGCGGTTGTTTTAAGCGGTGCTGAATGCAGTTCTTAAAGTCTCACGACAGCTAGTTCTACGCGTAGGTGTTGACCCGGATTTTTTTCTCGTTTAGATCAGCTGATAACCCCCAAAGATAGTGGCTCCTACTATGGCTGTAAGCTGGCACTAAAATAGTGAAGCTGTCAAATATCTAATGAGTGTGACAAGCTTACCTGTAATGAAGACAAAGTCGAACTTCGTTAGGAGGCGAAAAACATCCCTCCCTCAGTGAATTTGCATTTTTAATTTTGAACCAAAGTCGCTCAACAACTCGTTATCGCTATACTTTCTATTTGTTCTCATTGTTGTTTTTGTTGTTATTGCTATTGCCATAGCCATATTTCCGTCATTGCATTCCTACGCATGCGCGAAGACAACCAGCCAAGAGCACAGGTGCAGCAACCATAACTGACTGCCGACAACCCTATGCCACATACATACATATGGATGTACGTACACACATACACACAATAAAATTTAGTTCTGCTGCCTCTTATGGCAGTGGATAACATAACAACAAACAACAACAACAAAATCTTACGCTATTGCAACTTGCTGTAGTGAAAGAGTTATTTTGCGATTGCAGCTGCTCTGCATTGTTTGCTCATTTGTTGCGGTTGTGCTTCTTCGACAGCTTCGGAGGCTTCGGCAGCTAAGGCGAATTCGTCGTCATTGTCGTCTCTTGTAGTGGTTGTGGCACAACGGGATTCATGCCATAATTGTAAACGTTCCTCAATGGTTGCAAGATTGCAGATGCACATACACATACAAATGTGTAGTTACATACATACATACGTACGAGTACATACATACTTATGTACGTGTATTACCTGTTTGCAAACACAGTTTGCTGTTGTTGTTGGTTTATGTTTTTTCACTTTGTATAGCTTATGTCAGGTTGTTGTTGCCGCTGTTGTTGCTTATCTGGCATGGTTTCGCTATGTAATTTTGCCGCAATACAAAAACCGGAAATCGCCTTGCCACATTCCTTACATGTGATGTCGTCCTTTTTCTGCTTTATTAATTTAATGTTTTTATTTATTTTTTATTTATTTACTTTTTTTTGCTGTATATTTTTCTGCCCTGGACCTGTTTTTCTGTGTGTTGCTCGAAAATTAACTTGCCTTGTGATCCTGTCATTGTTTAAAAGTTTCTTTACAAAGTGAAGCAGTGAAGTGAGAACAACTATTCATTAAATATACATACATATGTACATCCATACATTCGTTATATATTTGAATTGAAGAAGAAAGAAAACAAAAACCAGTGTTTAGCAAAATAAAAAGTGTGCTTCTACTTAACGAGTTGCCTGTGAAGAGAAAACATTGATTTAGATGCCAAAAGGCTTACACGTCAAAAAAGGGGTGCTAAGATCTTAATGGATAACAACAACAAAATATAAAATGTAAGTTTACAAAATATTTTCTTACATACATATGTAGATCGGATTTTTTAATTATTTCTTTCATTTTAGAATTTAATTTTTTTATTTATTTATTTTTAAAAAAAAATTTAATTATATAATTTTTATTCTTTATTTTAATCAACTTAATTGTTTAATTTATTTTATTTAATTTTATTATATTATTTGATTCTTACATATGCTTAATAATTTTTTCAATTCTATTTTATATTAATTTATTTTTAATTAAATCTATTTTCTTTTTAATTTTAATTTATTTTATTTTGTTTTATTTTTATTTATTTTATATTTTTTCAATTATATTGTTTCCTTTAAATTAATTTTAAATGAATATTATTTTTTATTTTACTTTATTTTATTCCATGTTATTTTTTTAAATATTTGGTTTTTTATATTTTATTTTATGTTATTTCATTTTATGCTATTTAATTGTTATTGTTTCAATTTTATTTTATTTCATTTTGTATTCATTTTATTTAACTTATTTTTTTATTTTATTACGTTTTAGATTCTTTTATTTTATTTTATCATATTTTAGTTTTCAATTTTTTTTATTATATTTTATTTTTTTTCATTTCATTTTATTTTATTTTATTTTATTTTATTTTATTTTATTTTATTTTATTTTATTTTATTTTATTTTATTTTATTTTATTTTATTTCATTTCATTTTATATTATTTTATTTTATTATATTTGATTTTATTTATTTTTTTTAATTTTATTTCAATTGCTTTTGTTCTAGATTATTAAATTTACTTTTTGTTAATTTTGTTTAATTCAATGTTCTTTCTTTTAATAATTTACTGTTATATTTGATTTTTTTAATTTTTTTTCTAAAAAATTTGCTTCACCTGAAAGAAATGTCTTTTATTTAAAATATTTTAGTATATTTAATTTTGCTGCATCTTTTTATTTAATTTTATTTTAACAATTTTATTTTACTATTGGATTGAATTTTTTTGCTTTGGATGATTTGATTTTATTTTAATTTACCAAAATTTGTTTTATTTAATCTCATTTTCTTTACTTGCGTTTTATTTATTTTAATTTCGTTTTCACCATTTCCTTTGCTTTAAATTTAATTGAATTTAATATATTTGCTATTTATATTATTTTATTGTTTAGTTTTTTCATATGTTGTTTTTATTATTATTACATAATATTATATAAATTTTTATTATTATATTTAAATATTTTTTCTTAATTTTATAGTTTAAGTTTCTTGTTTAATTTTTGATTTGTTGTTATTATTATTATTATTTTAACATATTATATAATATTTTTCTTAATTTTATGTTTTTTTATTATTCAATTTCTTTTCAGTTTGATCTTTTAATTTAATTTGTTTTAAATATAATATATTGATTTATTGTTATTATTATTTTTTATGGTATTTATTTGTTTTTTATTTAATTTTTAATGGTATTTTGAATATATTTTTATTTTTTGTTTCAGCTTATTTTGTTCTATTTTGTTTTACTATAATTAACTTCTTGTTTTCCTTTTTTTTTCTTAATGTATTTTTATTTCATTGATTATTAGTTTTGCATTTCCATTTTTATGAAAGTTTCGTTCCACTTTCATTTTATTTCTTTTTGCTTAATTTAATTTAGTTTTATTTTGTCATATTTAATTTTTTCTTGTATATTTCTTTTTTCACTTTATTTTCTATTATTTCATTTTTTATTCAATTTTGTTTTTCTTAACATTTAAAATTTTTAATTTAATTTAATTTTCAGTTTATTTATTTTATTTTAAATAAATAATTATTTTATTAAACTTCTAATTTTATTTCATATCATTTCATTTAAGTTTAATTATTATATCATTTAATTTTGTAATATCTCATTGTTGTTAATAATTTTATTGATATTTTATTTAGGATATTTTGCACCTTAAAAAAATTAAGTGAAGAAGCCAAAATATAAATATCAATATTTTACCCATTAGTTAATTTTGACTTTGCAAAAATGTGATCTCTAAAGAAAAAGGATTTTTCTTATTCCACATTGATTATTTAGCTTTTTACATATCTATATAGTGTACATGGTTCAGATTTCCGTTTATCCAACCACAGATTACATACATATTAAAATGTTTATCATTTAATTTTTGAATAAATGGACTTTCAATGGCAATTTATTATGCAAAAGTGTTAGCATTAATTATGTGGAAGTAAAAGTCATTATTGAAAGTGCAATGTGCAATTTTTGAAAATGTCATAATTCATAAATTTATAAAAGTCTCTTTGCACTCGTATCTCACCTTGAAGTAATGGCGATTTTTTATTTTTATTTTTTTTTTTTGTCTTTCGTCAGATAAACAAGTTTTTGAAATAAATTTTATGTTTTGGCTTTGCAATATTTTTATTCGGCATTTTTATAGTGCAAAAATTTGAAGAGTCATTTACTGTGGTATGAAGATCAATGGCTTTAGTGAGATTTACGTGGCAGGTTTACAACGAACAGGTTTGACAATGTAGAGATGTCAAAGACTTTGTTTGTTTGTTCTCAGTTTGAAGGATCAGAATTTAAGATGATGCAATTTAAGGTGAATGCATAAGAACCTCCCAACCATGCTCTCGATGCTTCTGGCGAGTCCCTATCGAAGATGTGATCTGGTGTTGTCCTGATGATATACCTCTCCTGTTAGCCAAAGCTAGACGTTTCTGTGCGATTCCTTTCTTCAGACAGACGTTTTCTTTGGATGTTTGCTATTAGTGATCGACGCTTCATTGCCAGCCACCATTCGCTTATAAATTCGAAACCATAATTGTGCATGATTGACTGTTACAGTAAAGGGACCATAAACGTTGTACAAATTTTCAACTGCTTGTGTTATAGCCTTTAGCGAAGAAAATTTGTAAATAGGAGATAGCTTTTTTTCTCTTCGCTGGTGTCCATCTATGACATGCGCTTAACCTCTATTCAGTTAAGGTACCAAAACTTCTCCGATTATCTTGTTTAGCTTAAAAAATCATATTTTTAACGCCATCTAGCGTAATTCAATCACACTTATAAAACGTGTGATCCAGATAACTAAAGCCATATATTGCAAAAATAATGGATGACTTTTGACTTGAGCAAATATTTTCGATTTAATGACATCGCGGTTGGATATTAATACCCCTAATGGTGAATAGCAATGCAACAAAACTGTTTTTATCAGAACCAGGGTCGCAATTGGAGATTTAATACAAAGTTATTTGATGATGTTGTATTGTATATATCAGAGATGCTCAAGAAAGGCATATAAATCATTTCGTTTTGCTAACAGGAAAAAATAATTCAACGAAATGAAATCGTTTCGTTTCGTTGCCATGTTTTCAAAACCAAATGAAATCTTTGATATTGAAAAAGCCCAAAACTTCACGTAATCGTTAATTTTAAAGCAGTTGCTTGCTACTATTTAACAGCACACTTCAATATTAACTTTTAACGTAATATGTTAACGATTTAACATAATCTGTTAACGATTTAACATAATCTGTTAACGATTTAACATAATCTGTTAACGATTTAACAGAATCTGTTAACGATTTAACATTAATCTGTTAACGATTTAACAGAATCTGTTAACGATTTAACATTACCTGTTAAACGATTTAACAAAATCTGTTAATGATTTAACATTATCTGTTAATGATTTAACATTATCTGTTAAACGATTTAACATTATCTGTTAAACGATTTAACATTATCTGTTAAACGATTTCACATTAAACGATTTAAGATTATCTGTTGAACGATTTAACATTATCTGTTAAACGATTTAACATTATCTGTTAAACGATTTAACATTATCTGTTAAACGACGATTTCACATTATCTGTTAAACGATTTAAAATTAGCATTCAACTTTATCCGTAAACGATTTAACATTAAGGACAGTTTCTCATTTCGGATGAATATTAAAAGAAAATTATTTGGATAACTGTTTTAACGTTAATATTTCCAAATGTTTCAACCGAAGCGATAGAAACTTTTCGATTCACGTGAAATTTATCGTTACGATGCTACCTTAATATAAATATATATATATATATATCTGTGTATATACAAAAAAGTTTTTGTGGGTTAAATATTTTTCCATTTTATCTATTTATCT